GTACATCTGATGTTCTATTCATGTACTACAAAATTGGTATAATTTCAGTTTAAAAACATCGTCTAATGTTCACTATTATCCCTTTGTAGAGAGAGGTTAAAGTGCTTGCAGCATCTTGTTCTTTGAAAATTAAATTACTTCTAATGACTAACGCGTTAGATAATCTTTTATTTGAACTTAAAATACTAAATCATATAGCATTTCATGTTTTAATACCTTATCCACGGGCTATGTGCCTTGATTTGTAATTTGTTACGAGTATTATTAGAGGGAATATGTGCAATATGAACAAGAAAATCGATTTAATTTCAGTTTTTGATGCCAGAATATAATACGGATATCGTAAGCTTTATTTAATATAATTTTAATGAAATATTTTCAAGTAAAGAGTTTACCAGGCAATACAAATTGTACCCAAGAGCGATTAAAATCAAGGACGCAGATCTAACATTATTTTATCTTACATTTATTTTAAGTCTCCCCTTACAAAAGACTTTTATGACGACCTGCATCACTGACAAGAGAAATCCGGTTTAATACTCTAGTCTAATTAAAATTCGACCAAACTTTCGTTCCATATCGAGCCAATTAAATTTATTCCCTATCGAAAACTGGAGCAACGTAACGCGAACGAAATTGGAAAATTTGACTAATCACTGAAACTGAACATTGTGCCGAACGTTATTAAAACATGTTTTTTTATTGGCTGTTCTGAATTAGCCCAGTGTAATTCGATTGGTTAAATGCGAAGAAATCAGAAACGAGTTGTTAGACCTCAACTGTTGATCCACCTCCATTAACATGTTGCTTATTCTTGCATCTTTGCCTGTGACAGTAGACTTTGATTTTAGCTTAGACTTATGTATTGGTTTCATTATTTTTTATAAAGTAAATAAAAAGAACCCATACCTTGAGGGACAGGTAATTGAAACGGAATCAAGTCTTTTATCAAGTGAAAGTAACGATATAAGGATATGAATATATGTGAATGTTTAGGCATAATTAGTTTCTATAGACATGGATAGCTAAAGGGTTTTGTAATAAACTGCTTTCTCTGAAATCTTAAAAATTAAAAAAAAAACGGTATTAAGATTCAATTTAATGAAAAAAGCATTAATCCACTAAGACGCTCAAATTGTAATTTCAAAATGATTCAAATTCTTGATTAAAAGTTAAATTAAAATAAATGTATACCTTCTAATGTATCAGGATAAACAACGCAATACAGAATGCAATAAGTAAACCATTTTTGTGCCCTCCAACTTTCGAGATGTATTGGGTTGGGCCTCATACTGCAGTGGCTGAGACAGAAAATTGTGCAGTTTTGGAGATAAGCATGAAACTTTCACCATAAGATTTATTTTCAGATTTGACCTCTGATGACCCCCAGTCCGAATGGTCCACGCTTAACTTTTAAATTTATTAGTCCAGAAAAACTTTAAGGGTGTCATTTCCAACTAAATTTATGGCAATTCATTTTGTATTACATTTAAGATCGCAAGAACTCAGAGATTTTTGCAATTAGGGCAAGGTCAAAATAGTCCAAGAAGTGATTTTTTTTGCCTCTATTTTTAAAAATAGTAATAGTACTACCACTTTGACTCTCGAGGGCCATAAATTTATAGCTGCTTAACGACCGATTCTGTGCCCACGTACTATAATAGCGCTGTTAACTGTAAGCACACGAAAATGCATGCTAACCTAACGGCGCTTACACACATGAATAGAAGGCTCAAATTTCGACGGTGAGCGGTGAACAATATTACTGATTAGCTAAGCTAAAATAACTCCCAGTTTCTGAGACTAAAATATGATTGCTTAAAAGAAATGGCCTAACTGTCCCTTTAACAGACAAGGCGTTGGCGGAATACAAATATTGGATATGTGCTGGGATCAAATCGATTAATATGATAAAGAGCGCGTACCCATTCAACTGGACCACTGTTTTCATTTTTGTAAAACTAGTTTAACCATTTGCATTGAATAATAATAATATAATTCTGAACAGTAGTAACATTTTATGGTCATCTTGGAAAACCTGTTACAGATATTATCAATTGTAACAATCTTATATTAATTCTACCATGCGTATTAAACTATAACATGTTGAAGCTTGAATACACATTTTACATGTGTATTGACAGGTCTTTCCTTGACCCTCTAAAAGGTCACGTCATCGGAGCGAAAGGATCATCTTTTACTATTTGTGACGGATATAAACTATTTAAGTCAAAAACAAACATTAGCTCCACTGAAATAGGGATTGTTGGGTCAGTTAACTATGTGCACGTCAAACATGTTAATTTATTAGGTTACCGTTCCATTAATTTTGTTACGGATGGTTGATAAGGAATGTTAGTAAGCTAAAATGTCAAGTTAAAAAGAATTCATTTACTGAAAAGCAAAAGACACGTCATAATGCGGATATAGTATGTAATACATGTCTCGTTATTTCCAATACCTATGTATTCAAAACATCGGCGAAAGTCACCGTAAAATGGACTTGAAGGCAACTATAAGAAGCAGTTAAATGAGTTTTTTACCACAGGACATGCAACTGCCAGTGTCTGTTAAAGTGATACTACGTCTTAGAATGAACATAACATTTAAGTTAGCGAAATGGTCAATATGAGTATATATTCATCAGTGAACTTACCTGGTGTCATAAAGTTACAACAGAATCCCTGTAAAATCTGGAAAATTGTAAAATCCATAAAACTAAGTAATTATTGAAAAACGCTTAATCATAATATTAAGCGTTTTTCAATAGTTAATTGCATTCTTATTAATTTTTTGGGATTTATCGGATTATATAAGGATCTTGTTATGTTATTTATGACACCAGGTATATCTACTGATGAATATATGCTCTTAGTGGCCAAGTTTAACATTATTAAATTTTATGTTTATTCTAAGACGTAGTATCCCTTTAAGTTTATCAGCATTTTCTTTTGCCTATCCAGGGCCGTAACTTCATCAAGGCAAATGAGTCAACATTTGTTTAAAAATTCAAAATATAAATATGATACCCTCTAAATATATTGATTATTTTATATGTCTACGGTGAATGTTGTTACCGTTTGAAGTTTTCTGAAAGTGTTGCCGTTTGAAGTTTTCTGAAAGTGTTGCGATGCAAGACATAACTGACTATAAAGACAAAGGGTTTTGTCTCATAGAAAAAGTCCCTTGTTTCTGCTATCAGTATATATACCAAACCTCAAACCGCCAATAGCATCACTGTTTAGGCTTGTAAATTGTGTGGAAGTCAAACCCTCCCTTCCCATAAACCTAAATGTTACAAAGAATATTAGCCGTAAATATTATTACATTGAAATTGAGACATAACTTAACTCTACTACATGTATATTGTAAGTTGAGGTTTTTTAGTAGCCCAAAAGCCCTCTTCTGAAGATGGCAACCTCTCCTACAAGCTGTAAATGTCTGAAATCAATTGATTTTTTTAAAAACCTATCGTAGAAAGAAATTTTGAAACGTTAAGAAAACAAGACACTTTCTTCAAATACTAAATCTCTTAATTCCTTGACAGCTCAATAGTCAGCATCACAATTAAGGCGAGCTCTGAAACGAAACAAAAACATTACATTTATTGTTTTATTTAACTGTTCTTTACATCATTTGACAAGTAAAAATAATATTTCAACCAAATTGAAGTGCCAATCGATATTACTTGATATTTTCCGTTAATCAGTTTCCACACTGTATCACAATTAAAAAATTGAAGTTTGATTAAAAATGTCAATATTCCTTTTAAATTTATCGATATATGTAATTGTACGTTCAATTTGTGAGGTAACATGTGCTTTATATTACTTTCAGAAAGTTTTATATGGTTTTTGTCAATCATTGAACAAAGGCAGAAAAATGGCTCTAGAAATAAAGACATTTTTGGAAAATCAACACGCCTAGAGCATAGGGTTTTCATTCTTGGCATATGTAACTAAGGAACAACGGATCAATCTGAAAATCGAACTGTAAAGAGCTCGACTTTCAGCCTGCTTTAAAGATTAACTTGTTAATATTTAATTCATATTAAGATGAAAAAGAACCCAAAATAGACTATAGCATACCGTTTCTTTGACGCAATACATTAATATAACCTATTCATGTGTTACCTAAGGGCCTGTATAATGAAAACAATAATATCCACGACATTCATCGAAACGACTATTTGCTTCCAGGGTAACTTTAACATTGAACGTAGATATTTGTATTGGCATTGACAAAATTAAGTTGTTTACTTATATTACTCAAGTACATTTAAGTTCATACGAGTACCAACTTTTTCACTTCAACCCAATATGCTACTCTTGCTTGCTCAATTTAACCGAACCTTGTTGGACTTTTAATATTGAAACCTGTGAAGTGAATAATGTGAACGATCAAACAAATGGATGTGAAATTCACTTATTCAAGAAAACTATTCTGACGAATAACGTCAAGTATCTATTCATTTTAAATGTGAAAAGATGAAAGTCGGAAACCCAAAAGACTGATTTTACATGGAACATAAACTTCCTGATGCATGTGCCTTTCGTTTAGTGTTTTAAATTTCGCTTCAAGAAATCCATGTACCTTTCTTTGCCGAAGCAGTGTTATTGATTTTAATTGAAAAGGATTGGTACATGTATATAAGAACGTGACTCTTTAACAGCTACTGAAGTGAAAGATAGCATGTTTATTACGCATTTAATGCTAATGAGTTTTAAAAATCAAAACGTCTTCGTCAGTGTTTTTCCACTTAATGTCATGACTATAACTATAACTACTGTTGGCTGGTATAAAAGTTACTCGTGAACTTTCTAGTCGACGGACAGAATGATGATGATTGTCAGTCAATAAGTTAACTTCAACCGATAAACTTGCTTAACTAACACAAATGGATTATAAATAACTAAAGTGGATTAACAAACATGATTAACCATACAATGGATATACTGCTAAATGGATCTATTAAAAATGGATCTAATTTTAGTGATTTTGACGAAGTGTCATATCTTAATTCAATCTTAGGTGAAAAATACATAAGCAAACCGGCAGTGGTGTGCCTAACTTTGATATATGCTGTAATATTTGTGACTGGTGTTTTGGGAAATGTTTTTACTTGTATTGTGATTCTTAAAAACAAATCAATGCATACGACCACCAATTATTATTTACTCAGTTTAGCTGTATCTGATATAACTACATTACTTCTGGGTAAGTTTTAACTTTTTAAGCCAATTTTTAGTGTCCCATTCAGCGTCTTTAATAATGATAAAGTATACTTTCCGAAAGAAAGGGCCAATTACATCACGTCCCTAATAATATTAAGACTTCCAATATTTTATTTCAATATCTCATCATATGCCTCATTGATGTAATAATCATTTATCTGTCATTCACAGTTTTCTTCATACAGATAAATAAATAACCCTTCTTCTATCTCCCAAAGGAAAGTTTCATTGTCAATAACCATATTTCAAGCGACATTATGTGGTAATCAAACAAGTTAAAAAGAACATAACCTAACAAAGTTAATTCAAAAAAATAAGATGAGTTTTGTGACTTAATAGCAAGCCCTTGGAAAACTATTGCTTAAAAATCTTTGAAACACGTTCGCCAAAATAAAGTAGCTATCTTAGATCAATCCGGTTCTGATTATGCAGATTTAATAACTCCAGCAACAGATATACTTATTGAATTATTCAACTCTAGGAAGTCTCGATTGAAAAGCTCTGATCATCGAGTCTCATTTTAAGATATTTCTAAGTTTTGTAACGATCAAAGAAATTATAGAATGTATTGAAATTGAAATGATTTGCTGCAATTCTACACATGGCTGATGTAGACGAACATGGTTATGCTCAGATGCCCTGTGTCATGTATCAATTTTTGTAAGGACAACTTTGAGGCAACTATTTGCTTGTACTTGTCAAAGAAATTCAGATCCTTCATTCTGAAACTAATTGGATAAAAAATGATTGTCTTTTATCAGCTGCAATGTTTGACCGGGGCAGCCGTTGTTCAGTGGTCCAGGATTTAATCCCCGCATAGAATGTTTCAACCCCATCTTCTCTGTCAGTGATCTAGGTCGGCGGACGGAGGATAGGAAAGCAAGAGCTTTGATCTTTAATGATTTCTCGAAGCAAACGGCTAATGCCAAATTGTCCTCACTGCACACTGCATGGCGTTGTATCTATTGTAGAAAACTTGTCTCAAAAAAACTTTTGCTAATTAAAACCTAATGAAAAAAAAAAACAAAATCTGAAACTTATGTATCGTATGATCTTGTCATTCAATATTTATCGTCATATTTTTATTTTCTTTTCATCATAGTAAATGACCTTTCCTTGACTATTGGTGCAATGTATAAAACAGTCTCAATGAGAATATTTCTTTGTAGTTATATGCAGTCAGTCATCAGAAAGACATATTCATCTTTCCGAGTATATCTGGGATTGGCAGATCCGATTTAGATAAACAGGCTCAAAATCCCCACACTTTAGGAAGTGTGGAAAATTTCCATTTAACATAGCCTAGTTTTTCTGACTCTACACCAGCCGACTAGGCTGTAATAAAGGCAGATATTTCGGTCTTGCCTGGATGCACTTTATTAACATTATTAATTACATTTGTTGATGACTAACGCAATACAAAATGTATAATACTTCAAGTTAGGGTTAGTCCTTACAATATTTGAATTAATTTTGTTCATTTCAAAGGGTTATTTTCAAAATGAACCGAGTTTAAACAAATCAATCGGCTCATTCCAACTTACATCTGGCAGCGGCTCAAACTAAATGCTTAACCAGTTAAGAAAATAAAATGGGGAAATACGATTTTTCAAGACTTTTAGAAAGACATATTAAGCGTCATAACAAAGTTTCTAAAATAAAGTTTTATAGAATGATAATTGGTCATGTGGTTGTTTGGAAAGAATTTTCATCAACATTATCAACTAAAACTTCTATACATAGCAGTTCGCAAGAGATCGTGAGAATTGGAATTGGAAGACGATGCCAAACCCTTTATTTCAATTTTGAAGGATCAACATTTTGCGTTTACTTTCTCATTAATATTGTGAGGATTTTAATTTAATTTTTTAATCCCTCGCACTGTTTCTACATTATATAATAAATAGAAATATTAAGAAAAGTAGTAGGGACACCGGCTGAAATAGATCAGTTGTCTGAGGATCACGTTGCGTGTAACCTTGAGTAACAGCATGTTTCAGGTTCTGTTTTCATATTTTCTATATAACTGTATAAATTAATGTTTTTAGCTCTATTATTGTATAATATGAATATATCAGTATTGGCAATTGATATGCCACGACAGTTCAGTTTACGTGTAAGTTGAAACAGTTCGGCCATGTCAGCATTTAGATAATGAACACACAATTACAAACCTAACCTGCCTATGGCGCTAAGGAAAAATAAGACTTTCATTAAAATAAATGACGGACTTGCCTCTGTAAACGGCCCCTTGTGCATAATAATTCACGTGGTTTAATCAAAGGAATCACAAATGTACGTTAAAGATTAAGGATACTTTATGTTCGTAAGAAAAGGAAACAAACAACATTTCCATTTCCAAGATCAAATTTTTAACGTTAGCTGTTTTATTTCAGAACTGCACAATCGTAGACAAAAAGGTGTATAATGATATACTTCATATGGAAATTTAGCATCGTTAACGTTTCAACAGTTGTTACTTAACTTGGCATGCGCAAGCCACGTCGAGCCTTGTCATAGTCTGGTAGGACCATACGAGTTAGACTGTCAAAACGACAGAACATGACGTTTATCTCATTTGATGAAAATTAAAGTAACCTGACAATAATTGATCGTATTTCAAAGTCTAGACAGGATCTTAAGTGCTCACTTATTCCACATTTAAGGAAAGGTATTTTTGGTGCATCGTCTGTGCCTGGCCCTATTTCATACATAATACTTAAAGAGTTACGATATGAATTCTTAGCTATAATACAATCAAGAAGAAATTGCTTTGAAGTTTTTCAGGTAGCTCTTCAAGAAAAAAATGTAAGAAATTATTTAGTGATTTAGGTTAATGGTACTAACCATTAATGATGAAACCGATAATGTGATTGAACTTGAAAACTTCATTAACTTATAAAAACTATGCTCGACTAATGAAATAGACATTATTCCAGTAGATTTGGCCTTTTTTAAAATTAAAACATAGTTCCGTAGTTAAATCAAAGTTGTGAACTAATATGATATTTTTAGAGAGAGAGAGAGAGAGAGAGAGAGAGTGAGAGTTAAAACGTTTTGACCAATGAATCGGTAGTAGTAAACCATATAATAGTGTTCTGTTATTTCTAAATGTCGGTTAAGGATTATTTATATCTATTGCAAACTATCCATACTATACGTTCTGTCCTTACATGCCAAAAGGCGTTGTCCAGGCTGACAAAAAAAAATACAGTGTGATATGAGAAAAATTCCTCTCGTTTATAATTGTCTTTTTTGGAATTACATGTAGATTCTTTAAACAAAAAACGAAACCTCTGTCTTACGTTGAAACGTTATGTCTCTTGTTAGTGAAGAAGTGAGTAATATACGCCTGAATGTCGTTAACATCATTTATGTGTGCCTTATCGTGACCTTTTCATTAAATCCAATCATCCAAGCACAAATTGTCCTCACCTCAAATTCAATGGAAATCTACTTCTAAAAGCGAAATTAATAGTAGCAATTTATATACAAGATATAATATTCCTGCTAACGCCATACAATAGTATCATTGTTAAATCTAGATATTATCCTCACTGTTTGTTAATTATTAATATGCCTATAGATGAACAGTAGAACGCATTCAAATAAATTTATTGGATATAACAAAACAAAACATAGGTAAACGGTTTGAAGCAATATTGTAAGTACAACCGTGCTTTGAGACAATACTGCAACATCAATGTCTTGAGACAACATGGCAAGTACAGCCGCGCCTTGAGATAACATTGTAACAACTATGCTTTGAGACAATATGGCAAGTACAACCGCGCCTTGGGACAATATTGTAACAACTATGCCTTGAGACAATATTGCAAGTACAGCCGCGCCTTGAGACAATATTGTAATAACAATGCCTTGAGACAATATTACAAGTGCAGTCGCGCCTTGGGACAAATTGTAACAACTATGCCTTGAGACAATATTGTAACAACTATGCCTTGAGACAATATTGTAACAACTATGCCTTGAGACAATATTGCAAGTACAGCCGCGCCTTGAGATAATATTGTAATAACAATGCCTTGAGACAATATTGCAAGTGCAGTCGAGCCTTGGGACAAAATTGTAACAACTATGCCTTGAGACAATATGGCAAGTACAGCTGCGCCTTGAGACAATATTGTAATAACAATGCCTTGGGGCAATATGACATGTGCAGCCGCGTCTTGAGACAATATGGCAAGTGCAGTCGCGCCTCGGGACAATATTGTAACAACTATGCCTTGAGACAATATTGCAAGTACAGCCGCGCCTTGAGATAATATTGTAATAACAATGCCTTGAGACAATATTGCAAGTGCAGTCGCGCCTTGGGACAATATTGTAACAACTATGCCTTGAGAAAATATGGCAAGTACAGCTGCGCCTTGAGACAATATTGTAATAACAATGCCTTGGGGCAATATGACATGTACAGCCGCGCCTTGAGACAATATTGCAAGTGCAGTCGCGCCTTGGGACAAATTGTAACAACTATGCCTTGAGACAATATTGTAACACCTATGCCTTGGGACAATATTGTAACAACTATGCCTTGAGACAATATGGCAAGTACAGCTGCGCCTTGAGACAATATTGTAATAACAATGCCTTGGGGCAATATGACATGTACAGCCGCGCCTTGAGACAATATGACAAGTACAGTCGCGCCTTGGGACAATATTGTAACAACTATGCCTTGAGACAATATTGCAAGTACAGCCGTGCCTTGAGACAATATTGTAACAACTATGCCTTTCTGCAGAAAGTACAAATGGCAAGTTAAACCATGCCTTGTGGCAATATGGCACGTTAAACCATGTCTTGAGGCAATATGGCAAGTAACAAACTGTCTTGAGGCAATTTGAAAAAAAAAAACAAGCATACCTAGAAGCCATATAGCCATATAGCGATTACAATTATGCCTTTAGGCAATATGGCAGGAAGAACCATGCCTTAAGGCTATATGGCAAAAACCAT